CCTAGCTCTGCCCATAGTGTAAGACCTTAATTTCACCATAATAGCACTTTCACTGCTTTCTGAAAACTATCCATATGGACAAAATAAGTAAGATTCAATTTCATTTGTAAATGAAGGCTTTCCCATAGGTTGGCAGTAGCAGACTTTTGAATCCGTAGCTAAAACATAAACAAAGTTGTAATGAGGGTAACTCTAGACCCATTTAAGGTTCAACTTCAATATTTAACCGGGCTGTTTTGCTCCAATTATTAAGCAAATTATTATTTCTCTCCATTTCAGGATGAATTGGGGGGGAAAAGTATATTGATTATGCAACAAAATGGGAAGAAACCATTTGATTTATTACAGTATTGCACATTATTTACTTGGAGATCATGGAGGCTGGGGGTTAGGTAGCTCATCCGCCGTCCTAGCATCTGAAGTCAGTTTTAATGGTTGCTTACTGGTATATAGTATTTTCCCCCTCCCTCAGTTGTCTCAATGTTGAGCTTCAGGAGACTTATCTTTGGGGAAAGCTATTTACACAAAATACATCCTGTTCTTTTCCAGACAATCTGACAGAATTGACACAACCTTAGCTAACCTACAATATCTCCACTTTACCCTCAATAATAGTTGATGGAGATGGACCTGAAATGGGTAAAATGGAAGAATAGCTAATCTTGACATAACTGCCCCAAATCTGAGTATTTTCTATCTCTAAATATCACTTTAGTAGGATTCTTCTAAATTTAGGTCTGGCTTCAATTCTGTTTCTAGCAACCAGTTTTTTATAATAGACATTTTTTTAAAAGCAGATTTTATATGTTTGTGCACTACATGACTCCATGCCATACCATACAGTTGGAGAGAACAATCTTCTCATTAAAGGAAAGTGTTTTCTTTCACAGAGGTCAGGTCTTTTGGAAAAAGCTGCATACTGTAGGTAAAGATTTAATACAGTGGTACCTTGATACTCAACTTCTTTGAAACTCATCAAATTTGGTACTTAATGCATTTTCATGCGAACAGTTTATCCGGTACTCGTTTAATACTCCATGACAAGCCAGAACTTGGGAGTCAGCTGCCATATAACTCATTATATTATTCCTTATCATAAAAAATTGTTTTATAGCCATCATTTTTGGTACTCATTGAGCCTCCCAAAATCAATTAACGAGTACCAAGAAACCACTGTAATCTTCAGCATCTCAAGACTCTTGTCCAAACTCTGTAAAGTTAGTGCTGAGCAGCTTTCTGGACTTGCCACCAACCAGATATTAGGGCTTCAATTCTTAAAATCCCAACATTTCCAGGAAGCATTATGCTGGGGAAGGTTGACCAAGGTCAAATAGAATGGAACAAAAGGGACCATTTGCCAGTCTTCATAGTCACTTCTATCCTTCAGAGACTACAACTTAAAAAAAGCGAAGCTTTCACAGTACAACATGTGACACCACCACTGAGTGCAAAGTGGTATAGCCATCATGTTGTAGTACACATAAAACACAAGAAAAATAAGAGAGGAAAAACTCAGGTGAGACAGTGGACTCAGAAGCCAAAAACGTGCTATGTAGGAAGAACAAAACTAAGAAACAATTATGGCCATAGAATCTCTTTATTCAAACAGAACACATACATACATACATACACACACACTCACGCACACAGGGAAAAAGAAAACAAAACAAAATGGCATGACGCAGACAACGCGAAAGGCCACTTCTCTCCTTTGTGATTTTAAGAGCTTCATGAAATATTGCCACTTATATTGAGGGATGAGAGAAGAGGGAGACAGGAGGGGTACAAATCTACTATCTGCAAGTACAGAGAGGGCGGAAGAGTGTGTGTGGGTTTACTTCTTACACAAGAATATTTCCCATCATAACTTCTCATTCTACGCCAGATATTCAAACACTGGCCTCTGCAAAAGCCAGGTTCAATCTTTGTTCCCACTTCCTTTCTCCCCTATCAAGAGAGCAGGCTGACATAAGATCCTCCTCCGTTTCTTGGTTGAGTTTTGTCATGCTCTTGGCCAACTTGGTAGACAGGGGGCAAAGATGGCATAGTGAT